CCGCCGCCGCCGCCGCCATTAGAGGGGCCGCTTTGTGTCCGCCGGGCCTGCTGGTGAGTCTCCCCCCGCCCGCTCGCCCCCGGCGCCGCGGCGGAGGTTGACGAGGGGGGGCCGGGCCCGGTAGGCCGTGGGGTGAGGCGCGGGGGCGGCCTGGTGAAGCTGCCGGAGGGGCCTGGGAGCTCCCCTCAGCGCCGCGCCCCCTCCCTGACAGGCCTCGGGGGGGGTGTCTCGTGACGAGTCGCGACACTCTGCGCGGACGGAGGGGGGGGGGGCTGTCGCGGTGGGCAGGGCGGCCTGCTTTCCACCACCAATCCCACTCCCCCCCTTCTCCGGTCATACCCGGGGAGGCCCGCGGTGCGCCGGGCTCGCCCCCGTCCAGGCCCAAGGAGGCGTCCCCGGCCCTCGGGTGTCGCCGGGCCGGGGAGTTGCGGGTGCCGCGGCTGGGCCTTGGCCAGGTGCGGGTCCCCGACCCCTCGTCGTCTCTTGACAAAGGAGGTGCGGGCGTCAAAACCGCTTCTCCCGTCCCGCTGACACCTGGTAAACACCGGCGGGTGTGCCGTGGGTGGTGGGGGGGCGGGAAGGTCAGCGGCGGAAGGGGCTGATAGGGGTGCGACACAATAAAAATTGCTATTTATAAACTTAGGAAGTGTCTTAGCTCCCGCGGTAGGCTTCCCGCGTTTTGGTTGCTTGGTTGTGGTTGGGTTTTTTTTTTTCCCCTCCACAAACTCACTTCACCAGAGGCCAGAGAGGTGCCGCCACTCGAGGAAAACTGCTGTCGGAGATTTCAGTGTGGCTCTGCTTCCAAAAAGAAGCTCTTAATCCCTCTCAGTGCTGCTAGAGATGGATACAGGCCTAAGTTGCAAGACTACTAGGAGCTTCTGAGTTCCTCCCTGACTCTGTGGTGGTCACAGCCTGGTTAAAGAATGTTAGTTATCCTCCTCTCCTTATTGCATGTGCTTCTCCATAGAGAAGGCTGTTAAATTCCAGACTGGAATGGGACTGTTCCAGAGGGGCTTCCATTCTGGGTTCAGAGCAGCAGTTCTGTTCTGGGTTTGTTATCCTTATTGCCACTCTGGACTGCGTTTTTTTGGTTAAAACCTTGCAAAGACTTAAGGACAGAAGGACCAGTATGCCAAAACCTCAGCTGATGTAAACTGGTGTAGCTCTTCCCAGGCCAGAGGGGCTCCACCAGCTTATGGTGTCCCAGGACAGCTCCAGACCTGTTCTGGGTGGCTGTTCAGACCAAATCCTTCCCACCTGTGTTCTATTTTCACATCAATAGTGTCTGCAAATCACAGAGTGCTGCTCAGCCTGTACTGCTGGAGAAGAAAAGTTAGATAATGTAGGGTTGTGGGTGTGTTTACTCCTTTTAAAGTGTAGCAGAGACTGACAGTTTGCTCGTGTCTGTGGTATTTCACAGGTTACTCTTTTCAGGAGTCTTTCTTGGCCACTGGATTATTTGTGGGTTAACAAGCATGTCACTTCTTAGTTCTTATCAGGCCTTTTGAGTAATAGTTGCACTCTGATTTTTCCAAGCATGTGACTTTTTGTTTGTTTGTTTTTACCATAAATAGTATTTTTAGCATCATCTTCAAGAAACAGTTGGCCAACATTCTTTGGCAAGCAGCTATCTTATTGAGGCGGGAAAGGTTCAGAAGTACTCATGTTTATAAACAACATCACACAGTTAAGCTCCTCCACAAGGACGGTGGGTGTAGGGGGAATGAGAGGAGAGGAAGGTATTGCTGGTGAGTTTAGTTAAAGAGTGGAGATGTTTTGACGGACTGGGCATGAGAGTGCTTACTTTCCTCAGGAGGGACTTAAAGAGATTGGTGGATAGAGTGGAAAGTCCTTGGAAAGGAGGAATGCATGGGGAAAAAAAACCTCCACATAACTTCTGTTGGGGGAAAGAACTTGGTGTATATGCCTTGAAAACATCTACTGGCTTTTGCAGCTTTTCTCCCCTTTACCTGCCTGTGCCTCTTAATTAATTAGCTCCTCGATGCATTGTGCACTTTCCTCAGGTAGTAGCTGCTTCAATTATTTTTGTTTTTAGAGTATCTTTTTCTTTTGTGTTTTCCCTTTCAACAGAAACTCATGTGTGAATCTCTTCTCAGTGTTTTGTTACAAGTGACCCAGGGTTCTCTGAGGATTTTCATTTCCATGAGGGGGAATAAAAGAAGTTTTACATTGATTGATTTTCTAATGTGAGGTGTGAGTAGATTTTGTATAGACTGCAAGGAAATCATAGTTTTTATCATGTATAGTTTTGTACTGTAGAAGAATAAGTGATGGCTGAATAAGTAATAGTTTCGGAGGAGGGTTTATACAGTGGTTTTAAATTTAATCCAAGCAAGGACAATATGGCCTATAAAAGGTTCATACCCTGGTATGTAATGTTAGCAGCCTGAATTTTCATTCAAGTGTCAGTGGTTTGTCAAAATTCATCATGTTGGATCCTGGAATTAAGGTATTTCATCCAAGGCTATGAAACTTTCAGCAGTGGATTTTCATGTTGGAGTAGTTGTAAGTTTGTGACCTAAACCTGTTCTAAACTTAAAGCTGAACCCTGTGCACTCTAATACGGGCTGTTTCATTCCTTAGCTGCTTGTGTCAGTGGCAGCTCATGGAGAATCTGGATCAAGGACCATAATAGCCAAAAATTGTTCAAAAACTGTTGTCCCACAGAGGTTGTCACTGTCACAATCCTGAGCATCAGTGTGGAGAGGGATTATTTTTAGACAGCTATGCAAGCAGAAATTCTGATTCGTATTAATCCCTTAGCTGAAGTTTTTGTGAGTTTCTAGGTATGATGGTGGCATAATTTAAGTTGCACGCTACCTGGCTTTGGCTGTGTGTTTGGGGATGTGAAGAAAAACTCCTGGGTGTAGGAAAAGAAGATAATCCAGGCCACAGAAATGGTCTGCTGTTACTGTCTTCTGTATAGGTCAGAGATTGATTCAGAAAGAATCTGAAAACTGTAGTGTTTTTTATAGTGACCTGACATTCTTGGTGATGAAGAATAGTGGAGGTGAGGTATGGGTTGTTACTTGTATTTTAATAAACGTCTGTTGAGATTGAGCTGACTTTGAGTTCCGGTATTATACTGTAGCAGAGATGAGGCGCTGAGCTCAGTCCCAGGTGGGGAGGCAGAGCATCAATCTCACTGTAGTAATGTGCCTTTTTTTTCTTTTTGCAGTGAAAGCAGCATTTGTGTGTGCAGAAGGGCGGTATTTAATCTTTGCTTTGCTCTGTAAAAGTCAGCAGGATAGACAAGGTGTAAGTCAGGTTGTGTTTGCAGCATTTGGAGTCAGAGGTCCAAATTCAGTGCTACCCTGAAATGAAAATGTATCTTTAGACTTAGAAAAAACTTGCCTTTGGGGCTCCGTGTGTAGGAATGCATGTGTTTGGAAACTAGAAGCGTGAAAGATTTTTGCTGTATTCCCCTGAACCCTAACGTACTTGGGATTTGTTGTTCCCCTCCTTAATGCTGTATAGGGAAGGAGTGGATGGAAATAGAAACTGTAACGCTAGTCAAGGCGAAGAATTTCTTGCCTGGCAAGTGCTGAGCTATTGGATCTTTGTATTGGACCACTATTCTTCTTTAATTGAAACAAGATGGCTTATAATGCTTGTAGCAGCATGGGGCTCAGATAGCCTGTAACAGATCTCTGGTAGACTCAACCGCAAGAGAGTTGCAAATACAGCCCTTGTAGCTTAATCAGGAGGCACACGATTGAAAAGTCCGCTTAACTAGGACACCTCCCAGGAAATCAATGCGATGTGGTGGCTGTAAGGATCGGGACAAAGTTAGCACAAAGTTTGTTGAGTGGCAGTAGAAGTGATGGGAATGGCAGTTGGGAAGTAATGCTCAACCAGATGTGAAACGGGAGTGAGTTTCCGAGCAGGTTGCCAAATAAGGATTAGAAGTGGGAACTAACTTGTATTCAGTAAGATATTTTATTCCTTTGCATGTTTTTAGGCTGTTTGAAATTACTTACTACTACTGGCCTGATTTAATCAAGACAACAGGCAGCTTGGTGAACTGCAAAAACAAAAGGGAGATTGGTAAACACTAGAACACCTTTGTGAAGCAGACTGTGACAGGCGACCAGCTGAGAACTTCTAATGGATAAATTTTGTAAAACACAAATTTGTATCAAAGGTGTTGCAGGTTGATATATTCTGTGACAATATAGATATTGAGAGGTTTGGTAAAGTATCTTCTACCTGAGCTGGATTTTTAGGGAAGAGCTTTGAGGGTTTCAGGGGGCCAGAAGTCTTGAAAAAGTTGGCCAACTTGCAATTTAGCAGGTAATATTTTGGCATGTTTGGTTTGGATTTCCATTTTTGCTTTGCGAAAATATTAACATTTCCTGTGCTTTTTTTCTGCAGCTTCTGAGACATTTAAATGCTCTTCTGCTCAATTCAGCTTTAGAAAGTAGTAGATTATTGCACGATAATCAATAGCTTGTTCTTGAAATCCAGTTACTTTGCTTTTTAAGCCTTTCTGGTAATAAAACAGTCATTCTTGATTGTGTTGCTTGTAAGGTTGGCAGTTTTGTATCCCTTGACACCCTGGCTTCAAATCTGCAAGAACATAAAACTTTTCTCTAGCCCTTTTTGACCCGATTTCTAGACCCGCACCATGTACCGTATACCAAGTCATGTCTAAGAACACATCAATCACCAGTGTACGTGTCATGTAACAGTAAGTGGACACCCTTAACAGCACAGGATTGGATATGCTTTCTCATTTTTCCATTGCATATTTGTTTTCAGTCAGCTCGGCCTGTGCACCCTACCACAAGTCCTTGTGACTTGGTATTTCTGCCAGCCTGACAGTTGGCTTGCCATGTTTGAGACCTGGTTTTATCCTAAAGTATTTTCTCTTGAATGAGATTGAAGTCTGAGATAAGCTGGAAAATCTTATGGCCAGCAGAAATTCAAGGAGTCAGCCGAACTATGCCTCAGATTACGTTGGTTTTTTGGTTTTTTTTTACATGTTCTTGTTTCTGTTACATTGGTGGGGGGACTCCAGTCTTCTGAAATATTATCCAAAATGTGTGTGTCTCACCTGAAGCCTCCCTTTATTTCTTTTTTTCCCCCCCTAATGCTATGCTGATAGCTCAGGAGGAAATTGGTGTATTTTTTCATAATAGTTCATATAAAGCTACCTGTACCCTTGACTGGATCTTCCATCAGTGGCCACTCCCTGAGCTGGGAGACTAGACACTATCAACCATTCCTGCTCATCTAGAAATCCAGAAAGTTGGGGCTTTTCGTTGCTGATCAGCTCCTTGCTGGATTACCAGCTTTGAAATGACTAGTTCATGATAATTGAGGAGCCTGCAGTTCAAATGACCCATAGGAAAATGACTGTGAGTGGCTATATGAGGAGTTACTATCTGTACTTTCAAGCAACTTTTTGAAAAGGTTGGTATCCAGATGTTTCTTTTGTGGCTGATGGGATTATTTTTTTCTGCCAGTCGATCAGGTTTAAGTGTACGTGACAGTTACCCAACAACCACCTTGAAAACCTGCATCCTCAGATGATGGCCTCTTCCCACTTTCTAAGCACAGTATTTGTTTGACATTTGTGTAAATGCAAAATACAGTCATTACTTTCCAGTTGTTTGTTATTAAAAGTGATGCTTGCAATCATAGCTGTGGTACTCATTTAAAGATGTCTTAGTAGCTCATCCATGCAATAGGGTGTCCAGGTAACAGTTGTTTTGTGTGACTTGATTTTTCCATTAAATAAATCTACCATTTTCTATGGAGGGGGGAATGAGAGTTTTTCTGCACTGCTGTTGCAAAACCTTCTAGTCTTTTGGTTTATCTTTTGAGAAACAAAATTCAGCCCTGTTTGTAGTTGATGTTTCACACCCAGTCCAGAAAACTACTTTTGATCCCTCTGTGGGAAGAAATAGGCTAAGTAAGAGCAGTGCTTGGGCTGTGGTGCTTTCACAAGGTGGTGACTTTGCCCCTTGCAAATATCAAATGTTGGTGCTTTGAAGTCAACAGGAGATTATCCTCCTGCCCCTTTGATTCCCATGGCCTTTTGAGCAGGAGATGATCTATGTATGGGAATACAGAGGGAATCAACAAGCTCCTGCTTGGGTCACTCTGAATTTCCACTGGATGATGTCTTATTTGCGTGTGTTGTAGGCACTGAAGTTATGAATTGTGCTGTGTTAAGGTTCACACTTGAGAGCAAGAAGACTCGAGTAGTTTATACTGTGATCTAAACAAAGGGGTTTTTTAGAACTTGGGGAATTTTAAGTCAAAGTTGGGAGTACTGTGTTTTCATGCATGTGACATGCAGGTCACATAGTTTAAAAATAAATAAAAACCAGGACCAGGTCAGCCACAGTGCGTGCTTCGATGTGTGTGTTAGTAATCCCAGGGAAAGCATTTTTTGTAGCCCCCAGCCAATTTCCCTGAGGATGGATCTGTAATTGGTTATTTTAGGACTCACTTCAAAATGCTGGCATTTTTTTTAGAGGGCTTCAGGCTATGCTTGCTAGAAAAAACATTTGATACTGAGCTGAAGCCTGGTGGAATTTTTAATTTTTCCTCTTACTTTCCACACTTTGGGGAGGAAGGTCCCATAAAATAAGGGGGGGGGGGGGGGAGGGGGAAGTGCTGGGCTGCAGTTCTTACATTCTAATTGGCTATTAGTATTTTTTTCCCATCCTGAAATTTCATAAGAAAGCTTCATTCATCTCATTTATTTTGGTTTTGGCATGTAGTGTGATTTGATTTTTTTCTGTTTTGTCTCAGAAGAAAACATCTGGCACTGTTACACTTGTTTGCTTTTACTGGTGCTGAGACAGGACTAGTTCACTGTCATTTTTCAGAATGACTGTTCAGTGTCATCAAAGGAGAAGTCTTAGAAGTTGCAGAAGCGGATTGACTGCCTTTAGCTGTGAGAAGCACTGTGTTTTGAAGACGGCTGGCTAGATGAATGTCTTTTAGAGCATCTCCCATGGAAATGCTGCCTAGTGATGTGTCTAGTTCTCCTGAAATGAAAGTCTCTTGATTGGTTGTGCCATAGGTGTGTGCAGCTGACATGACACTGCACCCACCTGCAGCAGCAGTGGAATTAGTTTATTAATTTACCGGTTTGTTCTTTGGGGAGGAGATCTTGTAGGTACAATGATGTAGCCTCTTGCATCACCAGTCCTTGTGAACCATTGTATCTTAACGCACATTCCCCTCAGCTCTTCTTTCACTGCCGCTGGTTTCTGAATGGAAACTACTTACACAGCTTGGAGGTTTAACAAAAGTGCTCCGTGCAGATGACCTGGGTTTTGGTTTGCCTGGGAAAATAACTGAGGCAGAGAGAATCCCTCCGATCAGCTAGGAGTCCCCGCTGCTAAGTAATAAGAGAACTGTATTTTTGGGCAAGAATACAGAGTAATTGAGATGGTATTGATGTAGTACGGAGCATCCACCCCTGCAATGGAGAATGCAGTGCAAAGTGCTGAAACAGTGGTGAAAATCATCTTGAAAACAGTGCCAGGAGTGATGTTAGGTCTCTGGTCAAGAAGAACACACTGAGGCTGGGGAAATTTATGGTAAGTGCCTGCCTTCTCATCTGAGCAAAAGAAAACATCCAGAATAGATAGAAATCGGGAGCATTTGGCTATTTCTCTGTAAGGAAGGGAAGAGGGCAGTCTGGAGCTTGATCTTTGGATGGAATGGAGGAGAAGGGGTTCAGCCGTGGTTTGCTAGAGGCGAGGCTTTGCTTCTGAGTTTTTTAAAGGGGGTGCTGAGAAGAGGAAGTGAATGAGCAAGTAAGCCCTCTGTTTTGCGACGGAAATAGTGGAGCACCTCTCCTTAAGAAAGGCTGATGCAGGCAGATGGGCAACAAGTAAGAAAGGCTGTAGAAGTGTAATGGTAGTCAGGGGTGAGAATTGATGAGGGTTAAACTAAGCTTAACCCATTCAGTACCCGTGACAGTGCATGTGTTTGGAGGAGAGTTTTGTAAAGCTTCAATTTTTTTGTAGATGGTATGGAGATTGCTGTTTTGATGGTTATTTTCTTCTTCAAGGAGTCCTTCAGTTCTATAAATTGCATGGGATTTAGTTGGGGGGGGGGGCATGGTTCGGGTCCCCAGCATATGTATTTTCTGCCTAACGGATTTAATGGTTTAATTCCTTAGGCTGATAGAAGCTGGATCAATGTGTCAGCTCCTGCTTTTACCCAAAGTCAGTGGCTGACTGCTTACCTCAATGCCTTACTTTAGGCACAGTGCAATGTCTGCTTTTCGTTAATGCCTTCTGTTAATTTAAAGAGCGTTTTTATTCTTTCAGATATGTTTTAATGGAGCAGGCTGCAGGTCTGGCTTACACCTTTACCATTTTTGCTACTTCCATAGCACTCAAGTTTGCTTACATGTTTTAGCATCTTTGTTGAATGCAAGTGTTGACTGTCAGTTGTGTTAGTCATAAGCTGTAAGTCATTTATCCTTCTTTTCTTTTTAATCTTTAGTTTGTTAGATACATGGACATAGATGTTTTTGTTTTGTTAATTTTCACACCACATCTTTTCTGTACTTCAGGTTGACTCCTCACTGCACTGTGAAAACCATTAGGAAAAAGTCCTTGGGGTTAAAACCTGGGGCTCCACAGTGTTACCTGCACTTGGGGCTAGAAATTAATTTAAATGGCGACTGATCTGTCTGAAGCTGAACCCGTGCATCATAAGGCGCTTCCACTCTTAACGGGAGCTCAGCTGATCCACACGGACAAGTTAAGTGAGGTAGGGGCTGGCCCATTCTCCAAGCTTGCCCTTGGATCAGTCCTTGACTTCCAGTCCTGCTGAAGGTTACTTGGTACTCTTTCTCCCCTGCTTGTAGGAAACTCAATTGAGAAACTATTAAACCCCGTAGGCACTCTCCTTCCCCTTCCCTGCTTTCCCTGAGGTGTTGTATTTGTCAAAATCCTCAAATGCTCATCTCATTTAATTTGGAATTGAAAATAAATTATTTCTTTTATAAGTGTAAAATGTGAAACTATCCTCTCCTAGTATGCTTCAAAGAAGCTGGTTTGAGGGTTACTGTCTTTTAAAATTCTGAAAAATCCAAATGTAACCAGAATATTTCTACATATGCTGCTTTGATTTACTTTAATCCCATTTTAAAAACTTTCTGATTCTTTCCAGTATCTGTACTGATTTTTGTATACTTTTTATAGAAAGTTGAAGACGACACAATGCCGATCCGTCGCTCAGTGAATTCTTCTTCCCGGGAAACTCCTCCCAAAAGCAAACCTGCTGAAGGTGAAGAGGTCAAAGCGGGTACGGTAATAGTTCTGTAGTGGATTGTTAATGTATACCCAAACATAGGCTTGTGTTCTGAAACTCCTGAAAAAAACTTTCTGCCATGATTAAAATATTACTAATGCTTAGCTTCTTTTCACAGGCTTTTCCTGGATTATTGGGAAGTTTTGCAGCCACTCTTTTCACTCTGAACCCATTTGTGTTGTCCTTCATACCCTATGGCAAAGCCTTGACACTCCAGACAGGAAAATATAACTAAATATAGACCCTTTTAAGCTTGCTATTCTTTGGAATAAAGGTAGAAATTGTGAAGTTTCAGTAGTGTCAGGAAGATGGCTTGAGATCGAAAGGTGGAGTTAATGAGTTGTTTTCCTGAACAAAAGGGTTTTACCACAATGTGTCATAAAATCTAGTCCAATATTAATGTGTCTGGTTTTAGCAGCTTCACCTCAGTTTCTCAGAATGTGTCATTTCAGTATTACGTTCAGTTAGTTTCACTGACTTGTCCTCTTTGGTGTCACAAATAAATAAATTACATATGAAACTAACTATTAATACACTGCATATTTTAAATGCATGATGCCTCTGTGGGAAAACTATGCACAGGAATGTAGCAGGAGTGCTTAATTAAGCTCCTTCTCAGAGATGGAGAACATGTCTACTGCATGGAGCAGTCATGGTAGACAGTTCTTTACCCAAAAAGTGGGTAATGGCAGTTTATATGCATGTTATCTAGCAGGCAGCCCAGTCTCTAAGCTGTTCTCAACTAAATATACTGGAGTTAATTTGCTTGGTAAGTTGATTTCTGACTGGCTTTGATCCTGCTGATAGTCAAGTGCTTCTGCCAATGCATGTGCAGTCTAAAGCTTTGCAAAGTCTGGAAAAACGCGATTGAACGGTTAAAATCCTTCAGGTGCTGCAGCATGTGGTGCAGAAGCAGCAGTGTTTGAAAACAAGTTGGTCATAAACAAAGTTACTTGTATGTACCTATCTAAATATCTTGTAGAGATGTATGTTTTTGCACCTCTCTGAGTTAAAAACACATTAACCTCAACCTTGCGGAAAATCCTAGTGTTTCATGGTACTGATTTCCTGCTCCCTTCCCCACCGAGATCGCTCTGAGGGATGATTGCAACAGTAACTTCTGGAATTAAGAGAAGACTGGGGGAAATTAGTTCGTTGTGAAAATGCTACATGATGTTGTTTGAAGTTATTCTGGCATTTGATGGCTGATTGCACCTTACTGAAACTCTTTTCAGAAGTTTTGTTCTCTTCTTAAGTTACATTGAAATCATCTCTTTAAATTAGAAAGAAGAAATTGCCTGGTGGGAAATAATTTTGGGGGTGTGTTCTTCAATTCCCTCTTCCCCGCCTTCCTGAAGAATAGACGCTAGTTTTAGGCAGTAACTTCATGCGTTTTCACATCTTTTAGATGCAGAAGTCACCTCTGAGGAATCTGCCTCTGTTGGAGAAGAACAAGAGAATGAAACCCTGCCTGCTGCATCTGGTGAAGCAGAACAGCCAAAGGAACCTGAGAATGAAGGGAAGGCGGAAACAAAGTCCTCAGAAGAAACCAAAAAGGAGTAAGGCTTGCTTAGTGCTGAATTCGGGGATTTGGGTAGGATTCTGAAGAAAGACAGGTTCTAGAGATAGAAAAAGTGGTGGGAGAGGTGGGGAAAATAGGATCGGTCCCTTAAAAAAGTGCTCATATTTCTCAGGAAGAAGCTACCAATCAAGTGTAGCTGCTGTTCTAGAACATGTGTGAGACTGAATATCAAGATAGGGTCTCTTTTTTTCTAATAGAAACATCAAAATGTTCTTTAAATTATTTTCAGTGTCAGATGTTCTGGGGTTTTGTTGTTGTTGTTGCTCTGCTTGTTGGCTTGTTTCACAGTGTCTTTTGTCTTACTATTGCTTTGTATTTTTCCTAAGCGAGAAGGATCAGTCTAAGGAAAAGGAGAAGAAGGTGAAAAAGACCATTCCTGCATGGGCTACTCTTTCTGCTAGCCAGCTAGCTAGAGCACAGAAGCAGACTCAGATGGCTGCCACCTCACGTCCCAAAATGGATGCTATTTTAACTGAGGCCATCAGGGTAAGCAGGAGACAAATGTCTCTCTTGTTCATCTGTCGCAAGGCAGAATAACTTGTGTGCCTAAAATCCACAATTTCAGCTTGCTGATGGTACAGATGATAGTGCTGTCTGTTAGCAGGAAACTTACTGTAAGACATGTATGCTTCTGCCTGGAAGCCCATGGAGCTGAAATGTGAGTCCATGATGATGATGAAGCCCCTGTAGCTTATTTCTTTGTTTAGAATTTATTTCCCTCCCTAGTTACATTGTTAGAAACGGCTAGTATGACATAACCTCGTTGATTGCTGTCATCATCTAATTTGGTGTGCCTTCTAGCCATATTTAACTTGATTTACCTTGATTAATCCATCTCTTTGATACATGCTTTTTTCAGCATTAACTTATTCTAATCCAGGACAGATGGAGATACTGTAAACTAGTGTTCCAAAGTGGTGTTGGTCTTGGTTTACTGTATCCCTCCTGGTTGTAAGAAGATACCTGTGCTGCTCTCCCCTCGAGGCTTGGTTCATGCATGTTGCCTTCACAGGAGGCCTGGACTCCACCAGCCTTAATTGCAAGATGGCCTTTCCAGCTGCTATGTCTTCAAAATATGAACTTCAGCTTAGGTTTTTTACTGGTTTACTAATGCCAATCCTCCAACTACTTAAAAAAAAAAAAATTGGCAACTTGTTCTGACTTAGTGATTACTCTATCTGACATTAGTAAAATGACTTACCGGTTGTGCATCATTGGTGGTTTGCCAAAAAGTGACTGTATTTTGTAGTAGCATGTAGTGTTTATGCCATTACTTGTAAGTGCTTCAGAATATGGGAGTGGTTGATATGTGCTTGCTGTACTGCTTTGTGTTGTCTGCCCTTCAGCCACTCTAAGGGGAAAGTTAAGTATTTTGTTAATCATATTTTATACTCTTGAGTCACTGTGGGGAAAAAGCCAGCCCTGGCATCCCGTGCTGATGTGCTGGCTTACATGCAGCAGTTCAATCTCTGTTCTTCCAGACCCACAGCAAGATAATTGCAGTGCAGGTGGTTTCTACTATCGTTTTGCTTCTGTTTCAGGCGTGCTTTCAAAAGAGTGGTGCATCGGTCGTTGCAATACGTAAATACATTATCCACAAATATCCTTCCCTGGAGCTTGAGAGGAGAGGCTATCTTCTAAAGCAAGCATTGAAAAGGGAGCTGGAGAGAGGAATCATTAGACAGGTAAGAGTTGCTTTGTGGAGTAGCACTGGAGGTGATATTACTCAATCACATAGGAGTTTCTTAAACTCTGTTAGCAGGTCTGTGGGGTGGTTGTGTTCTCCCTCGTGGAGGTTAATCAACCTCTGTCTCTACTTTGTTAGATGCTGGCAGAATTTTGTTATTGTTCAGTCAATCAGATACTTTGCACGGTTGTCTTTTGTGCAATTTATGACCGTTTCTTGGTGTTGTGTCATATAGCATTGCAGCAGCATGTGTTTTCAAACTGAGTCTAACAACATCACTTCTGCAGCAGCATGGGGGTTTTTTACCACTGTAATTTATGCCTGTGATATCTGTTAGGGTCTCCTGGTCAGGACAGCAGAGTATGTTATTAATGTCTGGCTGTGGTTTCTGATCCATGTCAGTGGGTTAAAATCAGACCTCTGCCATAACAGCCCATTGCCAGGGTGACAGTGCATTCAAAATCTGGGTAATGATGTGGATTAGTCTCTTTCAGGTTGTTATTTTTCTGAGTTACATTGTTAAAGACTGAAATGGACTTTCTTTTGAACTAGGTAAAAGGAAAGGGAGCTTCTGGGAGCTTTGTAGTGGTGTCTAATGCAGGAAAAACTGTTCCAAAAGCCAGAGACAGAAAGGTAAGATGGATCATTTTAAACAATACTTTAAAAAATCTTGCCCTGAAACACATGTATATAATGAAATGCAGCCTAACCCCAACCCAAACAGTATTCTTCTCCTTGCTGTACTTTTCCTCCCCAAGTACAATAATTAAAACACCTATTCCACTAAAATCAGAATCAGAAAGTTAGTATGCGAAATTAAAACCAAGTAGAATAATAAAAATCTTAGTTTTAAAATGTTTACATTAAACCCCTAGGCTTTGGTTCAGAGGCAGAAAGCTGAATAACCATGAAGCTCCTCTTCTGTCTTTACCTGGTAGAGAGAGATGCCTCTCAGGTATTGTAAGAGAGCTTTATGCTACTGCTGTTTCTATCTGTTGCATGGATAAATGGAAGACTTCAGTCTTCAGGACTGTCAGATGAACATTTTTCCATCAGCTGTGAGGGCAGAGGGAGGAAGATGAAAATGTTCTAAGGCTTCTGGAAGAAAGCTGCTAATGTTAGGTGTATATTGTTCTGAGGTAGTAAAATGTGATGTGGGTTTTTTTTGAGCCTAGTCCTCACAATTAGTCATGGTTCCAGCACCGCTGTTCTCCGCTCCCTGCTATGCTGGATGTATGAAACACATTTCTAACACTGCAGTTACGAAAGGCTTAGCTGGAATTGCCAATGCCCTTGCGGCTTAGACGGGTGAACCTAGAGAGTATTGTAACATCTTGGTGCTTATCTCTTGGCTACTGGGGAGACCAAAAGCCCTAAAACTGAGGGAACCAGTGCCACACTTGGTACTAGGGCACTGAAGGAAACTAACTGCAGCGTAACTTCTTTTTAAATAGAGTTCACTGGCTCCACGAGAAGTTTGAGCAAGGCACCTGATAACTGCTAACACATCACTTTTCTTGTCTGCAGCGTATCGGTGTCTGTGTTCCTAGTTACTTTCTCTGTGTTGCAGCAAAACAAATAGCTTTGCTTTTGTTTTCTGTGAATTCAGCTAGCAGTCTAGCAGCTGTCTGGGTGAGTGGCACCCTCACTTGCTTGACTGTTTGCAAAGCTGCTGTTAAGCATCAAAATCATTAAACTTCAGCACATTTCCCCACTGTCTTTTCTGTATAAAGAACAGACCATTTTTTTCTTGATCATCCCCTCCTCATAGTAACAAAGGGATGGAGGAAAATTCAGAAGGGAGTGTTGGCTTCAATCAAGATTTCATACTGTCATCTGAAAAAAAAAAAAGCACTCCTGTTTAGCTGTTCATTTTTGGGAGATTTGAACAGGTCTTGCCTTTGCTGGTTTTTAAGTTTCATGTCAGCATGTATCATGTTCACCTGTCTCACTGAAGGGTAGCAGAGGAAAGTGTCTGTAGAAAGAGGAAGGAAACTATTAAACATACAGAAGTTGTTACATACTCAGCAATTTATATTTGTAAAACTTTCCTAAGACTCCTATGAAAATTCCAGCCAAATTTGCTCAATTTTGCTTAAGCTGCTAAACTTTTTAAATTGTTAATTTAATGAGCTGCCTTACAGAACTTGGTTTGCCAGACCTGTGCCCACTGTCAGGAGCACTTCTCCCACCTGTGCATTGCTGGTTCAGAAAACCCAGAGTTTTAGGCCCCACTGATGCATAAAAGTATGTGTATTTCAGAAAAGCACTTCCACTTCGACTGCAGAGCAACAAGTCAAGCTGGAAGATATCCTGCCGCTGGCTTTCACCCGCCTTTGTGAGCCGAAGGAAGCTTCTTACAGCCTGATCAAGAAATATGTGTCTCAGTATTACCCCAAACTCAAAGTAGATATAAGGTAAGTGCAGGAGTACACTTTTGCAATCCGAGATGCAGAGGAGCAGTGAAATGTAGCCTTTCTCTGGCTTTGCCTCACTTCACTGTCATTCAATTCAGTATTTCAGCAGGCAGCAGACAGGTGGTGCTCTGCGTTGTAGAACCTGCAGGAAAGCTTGAGGAAAAGCTATGCCTTTTTCTGCATCACTCCACACCCCATCTTTGTTCCTGACACCGACATCGGCATTGCTCTACACACCTCCGCCCTTAACCAAAACCAGATCCCTTTAGCTGTGTGGATGCGAAGACCTCTCCTTGGGATCTTGTCCTACTTGGTTCTGTAATCTTTAAGTTGGTCCATATGGAGCGGGTCAAGGCTTGGGGAGGAAGCAAATCTAGGAAAACCCTGTGCATCACCTCTTACAGGGGCTTGTCCTCAGTCCCTTGTTTGTCTGTGAGCCAACTAACTCGTTGCCCTCCAGGTCTAAACGTGCTTTTCAAAATGAGTAGATCCTTCCGAGTGAAGCTTGTCCATTTCTGGATATGTGGTGACACCAAGACAGTGTTGCAGTTGAATTTCCACTAATGTACATTGTTCTTCTCATGTAATCAGCACTTGCTGACAGATCTCCATTTAAAATGTCTGTATGTAGGCAGATACCACTTGTAAGTACTGCTCTGCTCTCACTCTGTATAAAGCGTTGTTTCTCTGTTTGTTTTTTTAGGCTGTCAGTGTGTGTCAGTAAAGCTTTATGCTCCTGTATTTCAGACCCCAGCTGTTGAAGAATGCCCTGCAGAGAGCTGTAGAGAAGGGCCAGTTAGAGCAGATCACAGGGAAGGGAGCATCTGGGACATTCCAGGTCAGAGCCAGAGTTCATCTTGTTTTGTTGACTGTACTGACCACAAGCCTTGGATATAAGTTAATGTGCCCATTCCCCCCCCCCAGTTTTATTGGGTACACCTTTCTTTAGCAGCCTGTCATATTCGGGAGTTGTCAAACTATGAAGCAGTAGGACTCTTATTTTCCTCTTGGTCTACATTTCTGGAGCAGATCCCCCTGCCTTCCTTGCTTAGCATGCTCCACACACTGCTTCAGCTCTGACTCACTAGCACAGTAGGGGAGATGGTGGGGTAAGCTTTCCTTTCCATCACTAATTGTAAGTGCAGTAGGTACCCCAGATGCCTGCAATGTCTTTTTCTCATGTCTATGCCATAGAAGTCTCTTGGGTACATTTGGTCTGTGGGATGGAGGAAGATCTGATTTATTTTCTTCCCCGAGTGATAGGCCCTTAGATTGCCACATCCTCGCAGTGTATTTGGGGACTAGGACAATGTGTTACTGATAAAAAAGCCCTCCAGGCCAGTTGACTGAATAGGCCTGTCCTCCCAATTAAAGCTGGGAGAGCAGCGTTCCCTGTGCAGTGTTTTAATATAAAACGTATCTGTGCTAATGCAGGAGCGCCGACCCACCTGGTGCAGAGGAGCTTGTCCTGACCTGGTTTGGGAGAATTTTGTCTTGATGCTTTTCTCTTCCTCCTTGGAAAATAGCTGAAGAAATCAGGGGAGAAGCCCCTGCTGGGTGGGACTCTGATGGAAGATGCCATCCTGTCTGCTATTGCGGCCATGAACGAACCGAAGACCTGCTCCACCACAGCGCTGAAGAAGTATATCCTGGAAAACCACCCAGGGACCAACTCCAACTTCCAGGGTAAAGTACTGATCAGTGTAATGCTTCTCTTTTACATGCTGAAAGAGAGTCCTGCAGCTGCAGATGTGTCTGTGCAGCACCTTTAAACTATTCCGTTGAGCTTGCTGGGGAACTGACAGCTGCTCGGCTCTTTGTGCTGCAACGATGCTCAGTGTTTTTAATTCCCATTAGTTCCTTTCAAGCCTGACAAAGGCTGGTTTCTGAGACATAATGCATGTTTCTCTTGTCTATAGCACGTTCCCAGGAAGGGGGAATAGTATTCAAGTACTTTATTGTTCTTAAATCACCAAGTTGATTTAATCTTTTTCTCTCTATTTTGAAAGGCTACAGCTTGGCATAAATGCAGTTGCTAGTCGCTTTTTATTTAGAGAAGTTGCATAGTCTAACTTTTTTAAAAAAGTCACAAGCACCCCTCTTACAGATTTGTTTGAGGTCCTTCTTTGGCTCTGATTTTTAAAAGGTCAGGCAAGTGAGGAGAGAAATCCTGCTGTATTTGGGAAGGGATTTGGCATGTCTTTGTTCCCAGGAATGACACTAATGTCTGTTTTGACTTTTGCATTAGCAGAAGCAATATTAACAGAGACTTTAAAGCAGATCTTCTAATGGTTTATTTGCATTATTTGGTCTGAGCCCTGATGCAGTTGTTTAACCAAGGCTGGAGGTTATTTGAAGCAGGATGAGCTTGCAGCAGTCACTACTAGAGTGAGACCTAAAAGTAGATCGGTTTCGTACTGTGGTGTCACAGTGCTGGTGCCATTCCTCAGGACATGGGGCCGCAGAGGAGATTGCTGATCCCGCACTCTTCACCTGGAGCTGAAGCACGGCATCAGCACGCCTGTTTGATGCAGAACTTACCGACTTAGAGAGGAGCCCAGGTTCCCTCACGGCAGTGTGGGCTAAATAAGTTGCCTGAGGCCTTCTGCCAATTAGAGACTGATGCCAAGTGTGACTTCTTAATCTTGGGGCAGGGAAAAGAGTTTCCAGGCTTACTAAGCCCTTGCATGATTTATTTTCAGGACCATTGGAAATTTCCCTGGTCCTTAGAGGCCTGTGTTTAGCCAGCCTCCAGTGCTTGTCAGTCTTGCAAGTCGGGTAAGGAAATTTCAGCTTGCAATCTGTTGTTTTCTTTCTCCTTCCATTACATAAAAGGAATTTTGATGATCTCTGCTCTGTTTTAAGAGCAACCAGAGGAAGATCTGGTGAGATGTAAAAGCAGGCGGGTAATGCACTGCAGAGCCAGTGCTCTGCACTCCTCCCCATTTTATACCCCATACTTTGTAAGTGGACTCGACTGGAGCCAAATCCTTTACGTGCTGCTGTTGATCTTTCATACCCAGAGTAAAAACAGCCTTATGTTTTATGTGTTGCTCCTGTTTATAAAAGTGTGGGGTTTTTAAAGACTTCTTGAACTGTGACGATCCTAATGTTGCAACACAAGTATTTTAATGGATACAATCAACTCAATTAGCTATGCAATCTCCTCCAGTGCTGTACAAAGTAAAACATTTCAGCAGAGGTTGCCTGTAAGCTGGTGAAGATGTGGCACTGTCCCAGATGATTCTCTTGCTGTGAAATGTCATTTCTTGATAAAAGGTCATTTCAGGAGTGTTGAATAAATGATTGGAGTGAATATCTCTGCATTAATTGTACAGAACAGATTCAGATGACGGTTCAGCCAGCACGTTTCTTTGTATTTTTCTCTTTCCATTTCTCAAGTGAACCTCTTTGGAATGTGCTTGAGGGCAGACCTTGCTTTTCCCTTGGTTTGGGGGGAGCTAAATATGTAAATAGTGCTTCTAATTCAAGCTGAAAATGGTTGTGAACTGACTGAACAACTTCAGCCCTTTGCCAGAGACAAAGATCCCCTGTACTTGCACAGTTTCAGTTACAATTCTTACACAGTGCACAATGGAACAGAGGACTGGAATAAAAAGTGCATTTGTCATATTTCTAGACCAAATATTTTCCCTTTAAAAAAAAACCCAAACAAAACCACAGAATGGGGAAAGATGCACTACATATGAAATTTAGAACATGAGGAGGGCACAAACAGGGTAAAGACTTGGTTTTTTGAAACACTTTGGATAATAGGCTGAAAAAAAGCTGAGACTTGGGTTAAATTTGGACGGAAGTAGTTACGTGGTGCTGTTCAATGCATTTATAAAGGAGGATCCCTTGATCGTGACATCAAAACCATGCACTGTTCTTGACTTCTTCCTTTGGAGAATTTAAAGCCACACTTGCTAAGTGTGCAGGAACAAACACTTGTATCTTGCTTGAATCTTCCTGGAGATTAACTGTGAGAAGATTTCCCTTTAAATTAAAGACATACTAAAGCTTCTAAACACAGTGGTCTAGCTGGGTTCCACATGCAGCAGCTGGTCTTTGCTGAGTGCAGAAAGAAGCATGTGATGGTGTCTTCATGACTCTCGGGTCTCCAGTGCTGTTTTGTTCCTCTGCAGGTGTCCTGGGCAAAGGAGACTTCATCCTGACTCTCCATCTCTGATTTCAGAGGGCACTGCAGAGAGCAGTAAGGTTAGACAAGTGGATAAAGATAGTAACGCAACCCTTCTCTGATATTTTTTTCCCTCTTTTTTCTCCCCCCGCTCCCCCCCCCCCCCCCCAACCTCTCAC